AACGAACAGTGGCAGCCTAGTCCCTGGCCTTCCAAGCGCGGGCGAGTTACAGGCTGTCGTGAACTTGCGGGCTGTCAGCTTTGGAAAATACCCGAACTGGGTCTCCCGGTCAACCTGCAAACCTTGTCGATTTTCCCTAAAATAATGAGGTGGAATCGAGAAGGCCAGGAACTAGGCTGGAACAGTGGCATAGCTAGCCCGACGATCTAGTCCCGCTATGCAAATATTGCCATGTTTATAAACTATCAACACATTAAATTTCTAAAGAAAAAATAATTATAATGAGTGGAAAGTCGCATAGCGGGACTAAATCGTTGGGCTGGCTACGCCACTGAACATGCACAGTTAAGACAATTATATCACAATTATTGTATAAAGATAAAATAGTCTGGGCTAAGCCAGTAATTAGGTAAGCGTATAAGTATAGGCAATAGCATGGTTTCGAGTGCAATTTGGATATAACATGCACGAGTGAGTTTTTCAAAGTTCTCAAAATAGCACGAGTCCGAAGGACGAGTGCTATTTGAGGTCTTTGAAAAACTCACGAGTGCATGTTTATCCAAATTTCACGAGAAACCATGCTATTACTTATTAATAATTTACATAAAAATGTTCGAGACAATTGTAGTTTTAACTTACGCGTTTATAGCGAACATTGCACTGGCAAAGTTTTCCTGGCTTTGTTATATCACATTAAACAACGCTAACAGCTTGAAAATTGCACTCAACAATGTAATTTTTGTTAGTCTTGTTTAAGGTAAATGCTTTTCCATTTAAAAATGAAGATAAAAGCCATATTTTCCACGCGAAGGCAACTTTTACTTTGTGTAGCGCGGCCCAATATTTGTTTTGTTTTGAAGCAATCAGTGATTGTTACTTCTTTAAACTAAATTGCTTTAAACTGATTGGTTGATTTAATCATCGCAATGTTTTTCCACCAATCAGATCAGTTTGTTACAGATTTTTGCTCTGTGATTACAGAAAATTGCACTGTGATTACAAAAAATTGCACTGTGATCACAGAAAATTGCACTGTGATTACAGAAAATTGCACTGCTGTTTGGGATTAACTGCACTGAAATCAACCAATCACAGAGTAATATCTTTATGTACATTATTATACATATAAACGTATAAAGTGTATTTGATGATATCCACATGTAAATTTGCGCAAACTAAATGTTAATCTTAATATGCCTTAAAGTTCAGGTGTGCGCGACAACGATAAAACTATAGGGAGCCACCTTAATACGCGTTCTTTACATATGCATTTGTAGAGTGAAGACGGGATATTTCAATGGCATCAAGGTACTCAAGGTATGATATGAACCGGGCGTCAAAACCGAATATTTTTTCTTTGACAAGGAAATTTCGTTTATAAGTGTACGGTCCTTCAATAATCAAATAGAAATTCCAAATAATAGAATATAATAGAATAGAATAGAATTTTATTTGCACTCGAGAAAAAAAATAACAAGATTATTACAATAAAGTGAGAACGGTGCTGGGGAATTGGAGTAACTAAAGTTTTCGAGCCAATTCCCCATAAGAACTATATACAACAATGAATTAAATATGGCAAATAATAATACAAAATAAAAATAAATTTAGAAATATATATAGAAATATAATAAACACATATATACACACATACTGTACATTAACAATTTGTGTCACACACAATAGGTTTGATTTGATTATAGTAAGTAAACATTTGATATTAGGAATAGGTATCAAGGCAATTCTTTTTATTAGAGATTTCCTAGGTAGTAATTTGTCTTGATTATCAAGAGAACTCCAGATTTTTATTCCAGAAAATTTTAATGAGAATTTTCCTGAGTTACTAGAAACAGATGGCAAATGAAAGTTATGGGTTGAATATCGAGTATAATGTTGATGTATTTCTGAAGAGTGTGTAAAATAATTAGAAAATGCTACTGGTAACTTATTATTAAAGTAATCGTACATAAAAGTACATTTTTGGGTGTAAACAATGTCTTTTACTTGAAGAATACCTAGTAATTTGTAGATAGGTGGAGCATGGGATCGAGGTTCGGAAAAAGTCATGATCCTGACAGCTTTGTTGTTTAAAATGTTTAACTGATTAAGACGAGACTGGTACGCATTTCCCCAGATAATTGCCCCATGATAAAGGTAAGGATATATTAGGGAGTAATAAACATTTTTTAGTGTGTCAAGATCAACATAGTGACGTAATTTTGAAATCATGCCAATATTCTTGGAAAGTTTCTTACATATAACGTTCATATGAAATTTCCAACTCAAGTTTCTGTCAAGAAGGACACCCAGATATTTAAAAAATTCTGACTGCTCTAGTGAAGAGCCATCTAACTTGATATTTGGAATATAGTGAAATTGTTTTCTAACGGATGCAAATATCATAAATTTCGATTTTTTTATATTTAGCGATAATTTATTTGCTTTAATCTAATTGGTAAGTTTTTCTAATTTAACATTAACCATTGTGGTTAAAGTTAGTATATTACTATTTTCCAAAAAAGCATTAGTGTCGTCTGCGAACAACCGCAATTTTAAAATATTGCTGCAATTCGAGATGTCATTAACATAAATAAGAAATAATAGTGGGCCTAAATTTGAACCCTGTGGAACTCCACAGAGTGTCCCATTAAGGTCTACAAATTGTGAGCGATCCGTTAGATAGGTTCTAAACCAATGTAACGCCACGCCACGAATACCATAGTGCTCCAACTTGGAAAGCAGGAAATAAATTACAACGTAAAAAGTACAAATAAAATTACAAATAGATTCAACTAAATGAATATACTTTTCAACTTGGTTATGTCTATATTAATGTTTTTTTTTAATTTTATACATTTCTCAAGCGGCAAACAAACTTAGTATTTTTTCTGAATACTTAGTATTTTTTTCTGAATACTTAGTATTTTTTCTGAATACTTAGTATTTTTTTCTGAATACAAAGTATTTTTTCGGTAAAATTATCTTAAAATGAAGAGACTTTAGACAAGGCCGGCGAGAGGGGGGATGAAGGTACCCGGGGCCCGGAGTGTTCAAAGGGGCCCGGAAATCTTGGTTAAAGGTTCGCATCGTTTATCATCGCCTTATGTTTGTCCTAAATGAAATACACCTACTTGCACACTATCCGCTGATCGTCGTGATCGATCGTGAAATGTGAAAATAACAATTTTTCGATCGTTTTTTTTCTGAAAAAAAGTTAGCGAAACATCGTTTACATCGCGTGTTTATTAGTTATAAGATGAAATGAGTTATTTCTCTGTATTGAACAAACTTACTACGTCCATCCGCTGGCACGGTAACATGCATGCACGAAACACGTGCTATCGGCACCGAAATTCTGCGGCGATTTCTTGCAAGTAATTTGCTGGCGATTCTCTCAATGACTACGATTAAAAAATAGACTTTGGTGTGGCCATCAGTGTCATGAGTAAAGAGGGACAGTGGACCCGTGTTAACCAATTTATCCAGGGGCCCGTGGTTGCCTTTCGCCGGCCTTGATTTTAGATGGTACTCGAAAGAGAAAATGATGTCTAAAGTTCTGTAAGTTTTGCTTATATTGCTGTACAAATATGGCGTCAATTTTAGAGCAACAATTGAGATTGTATGTAAATTGGCAATATTTAACTGTTATTTTATGTTTCTCAACAGCCAGATACATTTAAAAAGGTTGCTAACTATGTAAACTACAAAATAAAGATAAAACAAACTAATTTTGAGAGGAACACTAAAACGATTTTAATTAGGTTTTGAACACATTTCATCGCAAAATACGCGGAGATTGAAAAAGTCGAACTAACTCGAACTCCCAAGGGAAGTGAAAAATGGTTCGAATTAGCGGGCGTTCGAGTTAACAGGGTCGTAGTTTGATTTCGTTTATCATGATGTTAATAATTAATAAGGTATACGTTTGTATTCTAAAAGCACACTCACACTTGAGTGGCATTCCAGCAAGGAGCACTCAAGTGGGTTCAAGAGTGAGTTTGAGTGGAGGAAAAGTGGATTGTTGTATTCATTAGCGAACACTCACACTCGAAAAATGTTGCTTGATTTGTATTCACCAAGCGCACTCAACTGTCACTTACCGGTGTTGCACTCGCCTTTGTTATTAGGGAGTTTAAGATCTTGACGACGAACTACCGACTACGTTTGAAATAGTTTTTGTCGTATGTATGCAAATACTAAATGCTTGTCATAACAAATATATCCCAAATATGTTTTATGTGCATGGCTTTGTGTTCGGCAAGTTTCATCTTTTAATTTTCATCATTTCTTTATAAAAATGCTTTCCGACCTGCAACGTTGCGTAGTCAGTTTCGGTGCTATGTTTTTGATTCTGTTTTACAACACAAGAATGTGATTTTTACGCTGTAGCCAAGGTCACTACGGTGAAAAGTATGCTCTGGGGATATGTAAATTTTGTCTGTCTTTGTTAAAGCAATGCGAAAACAAGCCTTCAACCGTACTCCGTACCCGTTGTTCGTTGTCGGCATCTTAAACTCCCTATTAATGAGTACGGAGGAAAGACGTATATTTTGACATATTAGTACATTACACATAAAGTACAGACGTGCAAGTTTCCCAACCCAAGCAGTATTTTTCAGAATTGGAGAAGTCAATCATATCATCAGAAAATTACGCCTGTATTCTAAAAGCTCACTCACGCTCACACTCAAAGAGTGGAGGTTCAATCTGAGCTTTCCTTTAGTGTCATGCAATGCTGTCTTTGAATAGCTGGAGGGTGAGTAGTCACTGAGTAAGGTACGATACTAACTCTTTAGCTATTCAAAAACAGCATTGCATGACATTCAACGGAAGCTCAGATTGAACCTCCACTCCTTGAATCTGAGCATAAGTGAGCTTTTAGAAAACAGGCCTTTGTTGCAAAACACGAAGATGTCCTTGAGAGTAAAAGGAATAATTACAAAATGATTAAACAAAAAAATAGCGCTTAGAAAACGTTAACAAAAGAGTTTAATTCGCAGGCGGGTGCAGGTAAGCGTGATTCTAAACAAATAAATAAATGCTGGGAAAATATCAAGTCTCGAGCAATATATCGTCAAACAAAAGAGAGAAGCTAAACTACAATGGTGGTGGTACGGTCTCACCGGAAAGAGACGAAGGAGCAGAAGCCGTTGTTTCAATAATTCCAGATCAAATGACTAGCCTGGACAATGCTTTTGACGATGATAATTATGAAGCTGGTGAGAGATTTTGTGGTACTGAACGAATATACAGTAAACTGCTTGAACATTAATTGAAAAAAAACCCCTTTCGATTCCTAAACAGTTCTGCGTTTTCATCTCCTATAGGGATGACATTTGTATATGCGTACAGTACGTCAATCATCCCAACAACGTTCGGAAATGCACATATTCTCCAGAAGTCAAGTTTCATTTGTGGTAGCAAATCAGCCGCGAGAAATTGAATTTTTATTATTTTCTAAGCGAGCAATTGCCTCAGATACTCGTTTAATAATTCGACTTGCATACGGTTGAGATATGTCACAGAGATCTCCTCTACATGCTAGCTGAAACGTACCAGTTGCATAATAACGTAATGTCAACAAAGCTTTATGTCCGCAGGAATTGGATTACCTCGTTCATTATGACCACATATAGCTGGCCCTATTATGTTTAAGATCTCCCGAAAGCCATCCTTTGACCTTTGTTAATCTAAATCTGATTCAAAATTGCTCCTCATACATTTCATAGTTGAAATTGTAAATTCTATCTCAGTTTCTATTATTGGGTGGAATATTGTCGAAATATGTTGTAATCTGTTGAGCTATACATTCGCCATGTTGTTCCTAACTACTTCACATGAGTATGGTTCAAGGGAGGTATATACCCTACGCTCAAAGTTCACTCAAACTCGACTTCTATTTCGAGAGGGTGAGTGCCGTTAGTGGATGGTCCGAGGGCGAGTGTCGTTTCCCATTCATTGACAGTTATTACAGACTCGTTGAGTACTGAGTTACACTTACTGAGAAAGAGGTGTCACTCTTTGAGTGTGAGTACGTTTTTAGAATACAGGCGATAGTCGTTTTATTTATTCTTCGCAATTGTGAACCATTACGATGCACTCTTTAAATAACTTACAAAGTCTGTACTGCTGTTACATAATAAGTTTATACAGTCCCTATATATCAGAGTGTTTAACAGTACAATACCTACCCGCAGCACCTATATAAACGCACCGTTCTGCAATGATCGACGCAACTTCTTGAACCTTTTATCTCTTTATGGACTTGTATTACGTTTGTATGCATTGTATATACATATTAAATTGTTGTTGTCTGAATAGAAATCTAGGCTTTCGACTTGTCAATGCTATGTTCTCACATTTTATGCTTTGCCGATCCACGTCTCAAAAGCCAGTTCAAGTTAACCGGGTAAATTTGAGCAAGCGAAAATGAAATTTCTTCGAGTTAGCGAGGAGTTCGAGTTAGGCGTTCGAGTGAACCGAAGTAAATATTAAATGACTGTAAAATTTGGGTCAAATCCAGAGGAAACGAATTGGATTTCGTTCGAGTGAGAGGGGAGTTCAAGTTAAGCGAGTTTGAGGTAGCGAGTTTCTACTGTGATAAATTTACAATTGTTTTTGACAGTGATAATTTTAGGATCATTCTTCTACGGCTATATTTTCACTCAACTGCCTGGAGGATGGATAGCTGCAAAGTATGGCACAAAACAAATTTTTTATTTTGGTGTGTTTTGGACGACCGCCTTGAGGGTACTAACACCCTTGGCTGCAATGTTTTGCCTCTATACTGTATATGCGTTGGAAGCACTCACGAATTTTGGAAATGGTGGGTAAGGTATGTGTGTCAAGCCGAAGTTCGATTGTTATACAGTACCTAAAAGATTTATGTAAATGTTAGAATTTTTGGCATCTCATGGACTCGATAGAACTAATTGTGAAAGGGTTTTGTAGGATTAATTACACAGGATTAATTACCTGAGTACACGTACTTACTACACCAACACAGAAAAATTCATGATTATTAGATTACATTGATATCGAAGGAACTAGACTCGGTTCCGAAATATCGTATATTCGAATCGACCTGACCGCGTAGCTCAGTTGGCAGAGCATTGGGCTAGTATTCCAAAGGTCGTAGGTTCGATTCCTGTCGTGGACAGGCATATTTTTCAAGCTTGCCCGGTGTGGATATACACAGCCATAGTAACATCACAAACATCATATTCACCTGAGTACACTACCTCAACACAAAAAAGTTCATGATTATTAGATTATATTACGTCTGAGGCAAATCATTAATGAGATATGGACTAATATAGTGGCTGCTCAAGCGCCATTTGTAAGCTCAAAGTCTACCTCGGTCTGCTTCACGTCAGTCCGGTTCTATCTATCTATTCATAATGTAACCAGTCACTGAAAAGCCCTGATAGGGAGTGTGCTGTGAAATATCTGTATCTGTATTATATTGATATCGAAGGAACTAGACTCGGTTCCGAAATATCTCATACTCGAACCGACCTGACCGCGTAGCTCAGTTGACAGAGCATTGGGCTAGCATTCCAAAGGTCGTAGGTTAATCGATTCCCACCGTGGACAGGCATATTTTCCAAGCTTGCGCGGTGTGGAGATACACTCAGAGTAAAATCACAAGCATTACACAGGATTAATTACACAGGATTTCTCAGGATTTGGGGAATCTTCACTCGATATAACTAATTGTAGAATGATTTTGTGGATGGAAATTGCGAGTGTGAATTTTATAAATTTATTAGACCTAATCAGGAGCAGTTGCGAGAAATGCAACTATATAGGTTCTCATGCAGGCAGGGATCGAACCTGCGGCCCTTCGATTCCGGTGCAGCCCTAGTCTAACTAACTGAGCTACAGAGGCCAGTTGTCAATTGCAAGCTCTAATCACAATTTTGCTAATTTCTCATCCAATTTCCATCCTAATTTCACTTAATTTAATCAATATGATATGTTGCAATGTCCGTTACTGCCACACTTTTTCGGATTAATACTGTCATGCTGACAGACAAACACAAAGACACACACATAGACACACATACAAACGGGGCCGTAGTGAAGAAGATAAAGAAGGGCTGGGGTGTCGGCGACGACAACATTTCAGTCGCTATAACTAATTAACAAGAAAATTTTTTTCACGACAAACAAAAATTTTTCCGGACATAGCATAATTTTTCCGGACATACAAAATATATATTTTCCCGAAATATCATAATTTGTTAGCTTTTCCGTAATTTTGGTGAATTTAGCTAAATTTTTGCTAAAACTATCCAAACCACTCTAAAATTTTTGCTGCTTACGGAAACGATTTTAGCCCGTGGGCTGTTAGCCAAAATTATTTCGCTTCGTGGCACCCATGTGGGAAATACTTGGTTTGGGGTTTATTTGAAAGGCATATAGGTACATCACTACCAAAAAAAGTTCCCAAGCAAAAAAGTTGCCCAATCCCGAGAAAATGGGTGATCAATGATTATCCTCTATTAAATTGTATTACGGCAAAAAATGGGAAATTCTGTATTCAATTAAATAAAAATGACTTGCATTATTGGAAAACGTACAAAAAATCGCATATAAGACTTTTAAACAGTTTTTTGATTTTTCAAATAGTCTTTGAGTTATTGCTGTTTTAAATGTGAAAATTGGACCAAAATGTCGTAATAAGGACTGGGTACTAGGTCAAAAACGCGTTTTTGACAGCGTATAACTCGAAAACAATTTTAGATATAAAAGAACTGTTTAAATGTATCATATGTAGGTTTTTGTAAGCTTTCTGATAATGCAAGTTATTTTTGTTGTAATTGAATACAAAATTTTACATTTCCTTGCTGTAATACAATTTAATAGAGGATAATCACTGATCACCCATTTTCTCGGTGTTGGGCATGTTTTTTGCTTGGGAATTAATTTGTGGTAATTAAGCATCTATGGTTCTATGATTTAAACAACAGAAAATCTATTTCCCAGGTGGGTGCCCCGAAATTGCTTTTCTATAGGCACTTTTTCGCCCAACAGCCCACGGCCTATTTGCCGATAAAACCTTTATTTTGCCGAAAAGACGTTTTCAGGGGGGTGTCACCCCCCCCGCCCCCTATATAGCTACGGCCCTGCATACAAACGCGAATGAATACATAACCTAGAGACTTGTACTTTTTTGGCCGGTTTTTGGCATGAGTGTCAGATGTCCGGATCCGAAGTAATCGCATTACCTGCAAGTGACTGGAGGTAACTGAAAACCTGGGTTAGAAGTTCTTGTGCACGCTAGTATAATAGAAAATTTTAATATTTTCCGGGATCTTTTTTCAATATTTACAGACCAGATTTAATAGGCATCTCTACTTATAACTTCCGATTTTCAAACTTTGTGTGGTTTGACTATTTCCCCGTTCTGTGGCCACTTATATTAGAGACCTTACGATTTTAGGACGGCAACGCGACGCCAACGGGGTGGGAGAGCACATGAAATCCGATGATAGTTTGTCGTTTGATGCTGTCCCACCCCATGTAAGGCGGTAAGGCGTTATTGTCAGTATGTATTGATTACGTCACACCCACGATCGTGCCCGAGCAGCCTTAAGTATTTTGAACAGTATCCGAAATTGTGGAGATTTTGGTTCCATTCGTCGCTAAATTTGCCCAAACTATGATCAAACCATATTATTTAGAAAGAGAAATCTTTGTGAAACGATATAATCGAATTTGTTTTGGCGTACGACAAATTTGAGGGGAGATATTTGACTTTGAAGGCGATGCGGTTGTGCCGCCAGTGATTAGCATTTTACTGTTATATTATATATAATGAGCACACACAATGTAGGCCACAGAAAATGTTACATCAACCGCTCTAAATGAGCTCATGGAGTAATTAAAAGAATGTAAAGGTATTACACTATCATGTCAACTATATTTTATTGTTAAAATGTATTTATTTGACTAATTTGAAAATGTTTTTAGAATAGTTTTGGTTGACTATAAATTTGTTTATAAAAACCGTTAAAAACCCGCAACACCTGATCATTCATTCTGAGATTGGGCGCCTGTGCTCCGATTGTACCTTTTTCTTCATACAAGTTTAAAAACATGCAAATGCCAAACAAAAGCCATGTAAAGTTATTATCTTAAATGTTTACTTGCATATTTTCTATTCACATTGCTTTTTGCTCGCTCTGGCCAATGTACAGATTGCACAATACATTATGACCAATGTATATTTTAGTATCGTTAAGGCCCGTTTACACGGGCGATTTCTGCCGCGATTTCAGTTGCGATTTTCTCTTTTAGGAGGATGTGAAGGAGTAGATTATTTAATAATGTTGTTATGAAATTTCATAACCTGGAACATTTATAACTCATCCACTCCTTTACATCGTCCAAAAGGAGAAAATTGCAACTGAACTCGCAGCAAAAATCGCCCTTGTAAACGGGCCTTTAGACGATCCGCATTATACCAAAGACGTTTTGTTCAAATTGGAATTATATTTAGAATTTAAAGACTATTGAAATATCGCTGACTTTATAGCCAAATTTTAAATTGAAATGTTGGCGGCAGGGGCGAAAGTAGCCCCTTTTAATTCGGCGGTTGTCAGCCACAATTGCCCTGCCAAAACCAGTGATGCCGTGCGGCAAATTTTTATTTCTGGCCACTATTTTTCCCAAAAATTTTGGCGAGCGGGGGGGGGGGCGGTTCCAGACATAAACCAGTTAAATTAAGGTTCAAAAAAATTTCCCGTACAAATTCCTGTTAAATTATGGCTGAAACCCTTATTTGGTACCAATATCTGTAAAATTAATGTCTATAAATTCTATTCATTTGCCTCTGAAAGCCCTGTAAGTTATTTAATAACATTACATTCTATCATTTAAAATCTTTGATCTACATTCTATAATTTAAAATCTTTGATCATTTGAAACCCTGCCAATTCAGATGATTCATACCCCCCCCCCCCCCTCGCACCTGGTGCCAGGGCTGGTGTTAGGAATTCCCCAACGAATGGGCTAAGGTGGGTTGGCAGTATGCTCCCTCGAGAAAATTTGAGTCTGTGAACCTTTACTGCGTTTTGTCATTACGGCAAAATATAGTTTCACTAACGGGTGGGGGGGGGGTGGCTACAGTTTCCTGCCAGAAGGGGCTATAGCCCTGTAGGAGAAAAAAATCGGATTTCAACTGGAAATGATTGACAATGAGGATATAATTAAATTAACTCCAAAGCTAGCTAACTCGAATTTCAACTCGAACTTCGATTGCACTTGTGTTACCTATATCGTGGAAACTGTACCAAATTTTAATGTAGCGAGGATCAAGTTCACGAGTTTTGCCATTTTAGAAGTGTATTACGGTAAAAAGGGAGAAAATTAATTCACGAGTATAAGCTTTAAATTCGACTTTTTACACATGATCTGGTTAAATAAAATCACTTACATGTTAAAAGTGAAAGCCTGATTATATTTGTCCAACAAGTTATATTTTATTGATTAAAACAATGAAATATTTTGTGAAAATTGTCGAGGATATCTTTTCCAAAAGAGAAGCAAAAAAAAATCCTGTGCTTTTTTACCGTTCTCAGCTTAGTTATTGAGAACGCTTTTCAGCCAGTAAAAAACCGTTCTTATATAAAATGCATATCATAATTATTTTTTTTCATGTAGGAAGTCAAATCGGGACATTATAGCATTCCTTCTATCTGGATGGCTTTGCGCAAATGGCTTTGCTGGCGGATGGCCGTCTGTATATTATGTATTTGGTAAGTTTGCGTGTAGTCAAGGATCAAGAATTTGAGACTTCCGGCTCAAAGCCCAAGCGAGCAGATATCGAATTAGACTGAGTACCAGGCCATTTTCCCTTTCTTAAATGCGGGTGGATGGAAGGGAAACCAGCGCCTGACACCTTATTGGTGCATTACACAAAGACATTTCAATCTGGCTTTTCAATTGGTTGATGCTAACTGGATTATACTATTGTTTATGATGTATTTAGAAGTTTCAACCAAATACACAAATTTGGCTAACGTTGTTTGCATCGTTGCTGCCCAATTCACAACTGCAGATACCTCGCATGTCTGGTTACCAAGGTAACTAAGCATCAGAATTATGCATAACAGTTATTTACTCACGTAGATATTTTTAAAACTTGTACTTACCTTTGTTTTGTTCTATGGCTCTTCGTTTAATAAAATGGAACATTTTGAGCAGTTGGGTCTGAGAAAGACAAGTTTGGCAATAGGAAACATAACTGACGGCTTGAGATTTGATAAATAAAATTTTCCACAGAACAGGAAAATAGCCAAACCATACAAAATATAATATCATAGAAAAGGGACACTTATTAAATCTGCTCCGTAAATATTACAAACGATATACTGGGAAAAATTGAAATTTCTACTATATCAGAATGTCAGTACAAGACTTTCTGACCCAGGTTTGCAGTTAGCTCCAGTCACTTGCAGGTAACGCGGTTACCTCGGATCTCAACATCTGACACACATGCATGGTTGTTACACATGGCGAAAACAACGATCTGACTTAACGAGTGTTCACTTGACAATTGACCTGCCTTTGAATTTGAACTGGAAGTCCGACATACTTGATCTTGAGCAGGCACAGGATTCTCATCAGCATCCTGCGGGGGTTCTTCCTCAGTGGGATCGATATCATTTCTCCTTCTTAAAAAAATGTAGAGAACTACTTTTGCCACAATAATTCTCAGGGTAGTTGTAAGTTTTGTTCTAATAGACATTGAAAGACAAGGAAACAACCACTTCCAAACCCCAAACATCCTCTCGACTGTATTTCTTGTTCGAATATGTGACGCATTATATTTACAACAGTTTAAAAATGAAAATAGACAGTGGTTAAAAAACAGGGAATATTTATGATTTATATGTGGTTTATAGGTAGAAAACTGTTATAATCTGACCGTTGAGAAAGACCGTGACTCCATCTTTACGACTGTTACGACCATATGGAAACCTGGTTTAACTGCAAATTATTTTTAGTTGCCTGCGAGAAAAGTAAATATACAAGGAAAGTAAATATATCTCCTTACCCTATTCTCTTATTCATTTAGGGTGTAACATTTCCAGCAATGCACACGCGATGTGGAGTTACTGGACACCACCGCTAGAGAGAACGAAATTAGTTCCTGCCACCTACTGTGGTAAGATTTACACCACGTTTACACTACACCGTAGTGATTAAATGCCGGCAGAATTTACGTGAGCTCACACTATACGCCGTTGCAGTTTGCTTACAAATTATATTTGGCACTCATGCAAACCCAAAATCTTCAGATAGAGTAAAGAAATTTGAACGAAAAGCATTCGAATTTACCGTTCTGAGACCTGAGATGCTTGGTTTGCAAGCGGTTGAAGCTCAAATTGTTTCGGCAAAAGTGACGTTTTCAAACAATTTCGCTCCTGTGTATTATTATCAGACTTGTTACAAGGTTGTTCTAACAAGACTGATGCAGTCGTGATGAAGCGAGAACGCCACACGGTTGACAACACAAGGTCGTTACAGTATTGTTGTATCATGACTGTATCGGACTTGGTGGAACAACCTTGCAACAAGTCTGATAATGATAATATCAGCAAGGTTTTTACAAGTTGTTAATAGCTTGTTCCAAACTTGTTGACATCTTGGGGCAAGCAGTGCGATCACAACTTGTTGACAGGTTGTCGGCAGACTTTTTACAAAATGTGAGATTTTTACTCGCGTAGTCTTAAAGCGGCAGTCAAGTCCGTTTTGTGCATGTTTTGACATGGGCCTCGTTTCTTTACATATTTTTGTTTGAAATATGTTGAAATTATCTTAAAGGATACATGCAGAAAAAGTACTTGTCCTGGGGAAGTTACCTTCGAGTTGGAATACGAGTTGGACTTTAAGTTAATTTAATTGTATCGGCATTTTTGTTTTTTCCGGTAGTTTCCGAGCTTCTCCGATTGTTGCTTTTTTAGTATCGTTAAACAGTCCGCGTTAAACCAAGGACGTTTCGATCAAATCGGAAGATCTTTTATTAAAATATCGCTGACTTTATAGTTGAAATGCGCTAGTGGTAGCGCTGGGATTCCCCAACGAAGGGGATAAGGTGGGTTGGGGCATACCCCTTCTCTAAAACTATATTTTCTGCGAATTTTTTACCAACAGGTGGGTGAGCTACAGTTTTCCGACAGAACGGTTATAGCCCCTTAGGAAAAAGCAACAATCAGAGCAGCTCGTAATTAGCGAAAATGATCGGAATACCGATACAATTCAACCCGTCCTTAGGGCATTTTGCCTCCACGGCTGAAGGTCGGCCGAAAATGGCCCTGAGATCGGTTGATCAATTCTACAATCCCATTGGTCAGTTAAAAGCGCATTAATTCTTTTGCAGTGTAATTTAGTCAAACAACTCTCGTGCTTTAACATTTTTTTTTCAAATTATACGGCAAACCACCGGCTTTAGGACCAATTCAATTTGACAATAATAGTATGCTACAATCTTTGCCAGAAACTATGGGACAGCTGCTGTAATTTCATATAATTTGAAAGGAATAGCGCCCCCCTTTCCCCCAGTTCAATGTTGGGCCAACAAAAATCTGATGTCTGGATACGCGGCGCCAACATTGAAGCGGGTGGGGGGGAGGGAGGGTGGAAAATATGTATCAGGAAATGGTATATTACAACCGAATGCATGTGAAAACTAGATTTTCCCAATGTATATTGTCAAAGATTGTGTCTAAGTAGCAGTTAAAATATAGAGTACGCCACTTGAATTATTCAATATCTTGCTTGATATTGCTTCTAAATCTATAAATACATATACATATTATGCAAATAGCACAGCAAGCTTTCACGTCTCACGCCCATGATTTCTACTGATAAGAGGAGGGTAGGATCATCCAATTATTTCATTGTTCAAAGCGGGAGGAAGCAATACTTCCATATATGGCATAAACGTGTCCTTTTTATCGTGGCTGCTATAAGACGTCATAATATTTCTCATGCTCGGAACGATTTGAACAGGTCACTTGGTACAGAAGTCTGACAGCTGATTGGGTTGATGAGTGACAACGCCCACTTTGGTCCTACCCTCCTATTATCAGTGGAAATCACGGGCGTGAGCCGCGAAAGCTTGGGTACTAATAATTACGGGAACCACTCAGTATTTTAAGAAAATACAAAACAACAGTAACTCCGAATAACATTTTGATTTTTAAACGGCGTTTCGACCAGTTTGTAGTCATACATGTCTGTAGAAAGGATTAATAATAGTGTAAACTTACAGATGCAGCTATTATAAACTGTAAAGCCAGAAAGGCGGAGCTTAAATGCCAGTTAATGAAATATGTGAAGTTCTTTGGAAGCTTTCGTACCGTGGTTGAGATCAGGTTTTCGTCTGCGTATAGCAAGAGATTACTTGAATAGCAACAAAGGCCAGCGGTCTGACTTGAAATTATTATTAATTATTAATTATATATTAATTAATTATTATTAATATTATTAATATTATTAATATTAATATTATTATTATTATTACTATTATTATTATTATTATTATTAATTATTATTATTATTAATTATTGATTATTATCTTACAATTTCTAAATATTAGTTAAGTTAAATTAGTGTGTATGGTGTTAGTTGAGTCGGTGAAAGTTCCATAAAGCCTAGTTCTCATTCATCGCAAACTGTCACCGACGATCGGCGACGCTTATCGCCGATACTTGCCGAGCGCGAATGCACGAAAGTTCTCATACATCGGTGATCGTCGCAGATGACAGCCGATGTGTTTCGAAATTTCCCACCAAGGCACAAAATGGCCCCATTAAACGTAAAGTTCATGATTTCTGTCAAACTTCAGTTGATTATTTCCTTGCTTGTTGAGGAAAAAACAACTTTTACTCATTTCTCATAGATTTTTCAAGCAGGTGGCAGTCGGCGATGGTCGCAAGAAACAAACTTTTTTGTTTCCTGCGATGTCATCGCCGATGGTCGGCGACGATTACGGACAATCGGCGATATAATTTTTGATGCGTTCTCATAAATTGCAAGCCGTCGCCGACGTCGCAAAGCTCCCGTCGCCGACGGTTTACGATGAATGAGAACTGGGCTTAAGGGATTTGATATGTTGAAAATGTTCGCAGCAGTTGATGTGGGCGTTGATTTCCGAGTTTTATGCTCTTTCAGACGGGTGTATAGACAGCGGTCTGTTTTACCAATGTAGCTGCTTCATAACATCATGTCATAATGATCATACGGTTTATGACATGATTAACCGTACGATCCGTAAGGATCGACAAACTTTTCTGCCCTGACTTAAACACAACATCACCCATTGACGGTTTTTACGGATCGACAAAGTATGTTCACGATCCGTAAATCATTTTCACGAACCGTACGGTTCGTACGGTCCGTAATGTCATTTTACAGTTTGTACGGACCGTACGATCCGTACGGATCGACAAATTTTAGCCCTGACTTAAACACAACATCGCCTGCATCGACAAAGAAGGTTCACGATCCGTAAATCATCTTCACGAATTTTCAAAAACAACAGTAGGATTATAACCTAGTTATTTTAGTATTCAGCTATCACAATTTATTCTTATTGTAATATAGTTGTAGTATAATGCTTGAATAACTCACGATAATTTCAGCCCTGGGTTGGAACGATTACATGACATAGTTTTCAACCCAAATTGAATTGAATTGAGTTCTACCCCGGGGTTGAAATTTCAACCCTGCTAGCTGAGAATATAATCGCGCGTTTGATTATGATAGAGTTTTGTATTACAGACAGGGCTGAAATTTCAACCCGGTAAACAGGGATGAGTTCGACCCTGGGTTTGACAATGCTCCATGCAATCGCCTCTAAACTCCATATTTGGTCAGTCATTGAGTTGATATGACGAGATCACACGAGGGGTGATCACCACCATCATTTTTGTATTGTTATACGTGGGAAATGATAAAA